AAAACATAAAGATAAGCTCTGGCAGGTTTGTTCTATGGTGGGATTAAAAGGGTTGTACCTAAACCACACATCTCTACAATATTTGGAATGCAGGTAGTGGTGGAAAAGATTAAATAATATTTGGTGTCTAACTTTTTTCCTTAGTTTTGCAGTAAAAAAAGAAGCTGCCACTATACAAATCTAGCACAACTTACAGACAGTTTTATTGAGTTTTACTACTGCTGAGAGTAAAAAGTATAAAAAGCAATGAAAAGATATTAGTTTGAAAAGTGTCAGCACCAGGATGTACATTAAAATTAATGTCAGTATTTTTTTTCTTCACTTATATGAAACATGGAGTATTTTGGATTATTAGTACTGCTGTGTTTGTTGCACTATTGCTCTAGATATTTATATGCTTTATATATTTTGTGGTAAGTTAATTTACAGCATTAAATCACATTTTTAAGGATTTGATGTGTTTTTTAGGAAATGATGTGATGCTATGTTAGAGCCGTTACTTTATGTATTAGACACCAGATAATTGTTCTTTCCCCCCCCATTTTTTTCCTTTTCTCTACTTCCCTGGTGATGGTATTCATGGGGAAAAGAAGGTATTAATTATACAAAATGAAAAATGAAGAGAGTCAGTAATTTATATATAAATTTACATTAAAAGAAGGTTTAATGGCTGTTTGTAACCAAGAAATGCAATTGAGAAATGCTTTAGGATGTATTATTTGCATATTTTGCACTTTTTGGTGATGAATGTAGATGAATAAACATTTATTAAAAAAAAAAAAAGTTCTGCCCAGTTCAACTCATTTAGCAAAAATCAGCCTATTTAAAGCTCCGAAATATTCATTCATGCCTGTGAGACTCATTTAGACACTCGGACACGCAGTATCATTAAAATGAAGCCAGATGTTTCTCATTTTATGCTTTTGCATGTCACTTTTTCCCAAAACTCGTGCATTTAAATCTGACTCCACCATCTCTCAGTGTATCTGGCCTTACCACGATACTTGCTGGCTTTGGAATGTCTGCCCCCCTTCTTCTTACAGGTAATGGTATGACCCTACTCTGTCTTTGAATGTGATTGGTTGCATGGTGTGTCCAACAAAATAAAGCCCCATCCCTGACGGCATGGATTTAGGCCCTAGTTTTAGACCAAAAAGACACAAATGAGATAAGAAACAACTCACCAAGACAGTTGACAAAGTAGCAAACTTTATGCACCAAATCAAGTGTTAAATCTTTTTACATGTTTTTTTTAACAGAAACCTGTCAAATTTCTCCCTCCCACAGTCTCTTTTTTAGGAAATACAAATTCATTTACAAAAGGAAAATAAAAAAGAAATCAACAAGTAAATGCAAAAATGTGTACTTATTTTTTTAAATAAATAGTTCCATAACTGAATTATGAAGGTCTGTTATGCAGCCTCAGTGAGTTTCTTGTGACAAACTGTGCCAGTTTCAGGAATTCATTAATAAGTTAGTTCTCTCCAAAATATCTAACTGCTGTTCAGTTAATTGTGTTGTTAACTTTTTATTTGCCACTGACATGTCACAGATTTTGCCTGAGCATACATGTTTCTCAGTTACTTTGAAATGTATTTTCACATATTCATCAGTTTTCAGAGTTTTTAAGAAAACTTTCAACAACTGCCAGAATTGTTTTGAGGTTTTGATGCAATCTGACACCTGACTCTACAGTGACACCTACTGGCCTCTGTTATCATTGTCATAGCTTGATGATGTTCCATGTAACATGAATTTTACTCAAAATAGAATTAAAGATTATAAATAGAATTTATAATATTTTAACTTTACTTCACTCACTATGTAACTGTATTACACTCATTATCTGGGAGTAGATGTCATCCAGTTTGATCTTCACACTGTCAAACAAAGCTATTCCATGTCAGTGGGTTTTATTTTCAAAAGCATG